CAGTACTGCATGGCAGATGTCAATAGCATAAATCTCCATAATAGTTTTATCTCTTTATCTGCCTGAATACAAAACTATATCTACACTATTAGTAGTGCATGTGCTTACACAAATGTGAGGCCAGTCTGTGTTACAATACAAATATTGTTTGTTAATATCCACTTCCAATACAGATACAGTAGTTGTTTTCCTCCTAAAATTAATTAGTATAATTTAAGACTATACACTTGACCTCCCAACACTCATTACACATTTATTAATTAAACAGATCTTCACAGAAATTACATACATAAATAAAAGGCACCATCTTTACCTTGAATCGAGGCAGAGTTGCAACAAGAAGATTGAACATAGCTTTATTGACACCTTTCTCCATTGCAAAACGCACATACGACCTTGAATCAGGGGATGAAATACCACTTTCCTAAATTGAAAAAATCATTTGTGAGTCTCACTTGAATAAGATATTACACAAACTAACAATTCAGTTTCAGAAATCATAGTAAGCAACGTATATCTGTGTTCAAGCTCTATCCATCGGCAAAAAAGCAAACTGAGTCATTATCCAATGCATAGAGATCAAAGTAAATGAAATTAACACTAGCTGGTACAAATTAAGGAATTATTCAGAAATTATTCTCAAATACATTGAAAATAGAATAGTGAGATAGATACATACTTTAGTGAAAGCATTATTGCCTTCTCTGCTGCCTCTACTTTGGCTGATTGACCGCACAGCATGTCCAAGAGACAGGAAATTATAGCTACATAACAGAAGATAACGCATGATATGGCATGGAATATTCTAGGACTCCGTGGATATAAAAGTATTCATTTTCACTATTATTTAATTTCATTATTTTGATATTGAAAATAATCAATGGATATTAAATTGATGCGAGTGAAACCGTGTGTGATATAGTAATAGTACATTTTCATTTGGATTAAATCTAGTGAGTTTCACTTATCTAAAATAATTGCAACAGTATTAAGCATGTTTATGAATGCATTAACGTAACTGCTTTCCTGACTGATGATTATAGAGTAGGACACCTTCATCGAGTCAAGAAAACATCTCATTTGTGATAAAGATAGCCAAATAAATTATCAATTCCAGGACCAGCAGCACAAAAATGCAATCCCATTACATTTACCTGCATTAGCACTAATGCTAGCCACATTGGCAAACAGTAAATAATTTGATTTTGTGTAAAGCTAAGTAACAATGATTGGCCACAAGTTTCACACTGCAACACAAAACAAGGTACAACGCTCTCTATAACAGGAAATTCAAAAATGACAAAAACAGAATATGACGCTCAACTGAAAGGATTCATAGCAGGAGTACAGGTAATCATTATTTATTCAAGAAATACTATGTAAGATTAAACTTCTAACTTCTTGTCAGTACTTGATGTTTATATCTACCTTCCAGTTGACTGGGCTTCAAGCAAAGATTCAGGAAGTTCAACACGGTCTGTCTTGGGTTCTTTTATATCTGCTGCTAGTAATTTGACCGCTTGTTGATTATTCTGACTGATCGCATAGGTGAGTGCATCATACTCTAAGTCAACACTGCGATTCACAAACACCTGGGTGATAAACAATGATGATACTCTCAATAACATGATTGTATGCACATAGATTCAATTTGGCAGAAGAGAAACGACAGCTCCTGACACTGTGTGTCACTGATGTCTCTGATATTTTCATATGCAAATTGTCACATAAACCAAGTTCCATGTGTAAATGACAGGGCTGTGTGACCATCTATAATAATGGTATTATGGCACCCTAATGCCCTTTGGTTTGGTCTGTAACACACACATCCAGGGTACAGTAGATTTGGCCTTCCTATTGAGTCTGTAACACACACACCCAGGGTACAGTAGATTTGGTCTTCCCATTGAGTCTGTAACACACACACCCAGGGTACAGTAAATTTGGCCTTCCCATTGAGTCTGTAACACACACATCCAGGGTACAGTGGCTTTGGTCTTCCCATTGAGTCTGTAACACACACACCCAGGGTACAGTAGATTTGGCCTTCCTATTGAGTCTGTAACACACACACCCAGGGTACAGTAAATTTGGCCTTCCCATTGAGTCTGTAACACACACACCCAAGGTACAGTAGATTTGGCCTTCCCATTGAGTCTGTAACACACTCACCCAGGGTACAGTAGATTTGGTCTTCCCATTGAGTCTGTAACACACTCACCCAGGGTACAGTAGATTTGGTCTTCCCATTGAGTCTGTAACACACTCACCCAGGGTACAGTAGATTTGGTCTTCCTATTGAGTCTGTAACACACTCACCCAGGGTACAGTAGATTTGGCCTTCCCATTGAGTCTGTAACACACACACCCAGGGTACAGTAGATTTGGTCTTCCCATTGAGTCTGTAACACACACACCCAGGGTACAGTGGCTTTGACCTTCCCATTGAGTCTGTAACACACTCACCCAGAGTACAGTGGCTTTGACCTTCCCATTGAGTCTGTAACACACTCACCCAGGGTACAGTGGCTTTGACCTTCCCATTGAGTCTGTAACACACTCATCCAGTGTACAGTGGCTTTGACCTTCCCATTGAGTCTGTAACACACACATCCAGGGTACAGTAGATTTGGCATTCCCATTGAGTCTGTAACACACTCACCCCGGGTACAGTGGCTTTGACCTTCCCATTTAGTCTGTAACACTCACCGAGGGTACAGTGGATTTGGCCTTCCTACTGTGTCTGTAACACACACCCAGGGAAAAGTAGATTTGGTTTCCACATCGAGTCTCTGACACACCCACTAACCCATGTTTGGGCAGTCAACCCTTTTTGGGGGGGTTTCGACATGTATTTGAACTCAGATTTACAACCACTACCCAACCAGTGTTCAGCAATTCATAATACTTACCCCGGCAACATTCTTTGGGTCATCAATCAAATCTTTAAGTAATTTCATGTCATTGGTCAAAACAGCTCGGATTGCCTTTTTACATTTAAAAAGTGGTGATATCTCAGGCATATCACACTCATTCCTGTAAGCAAACACAAATCAAATAATGCTTAGAAAGAACTCTTGTGTACTGAAGTTATTGAAGGCATGAAGTTTAGCACACATGCAATCATTAGAGCAAATACAGCAATGATCTGGGAGGGGGGGTTTCCATATAGCTATGGTTTAACAATTATAAATATTTAATGAAATAATGACCATATATGACTTGTTTTTCTAAAATTGATTAGGTGATATTTTTTGTGGGAATGAATGTAGCAGTAACCCAAAATGTTTCACCCTTATGTCAGACTTCTGCCATAGAGGGCATACTTATATAACTCGGAAATGTGTTAACTGTACCGAGCCATGTTGACAATGATAGAGTGCATCATCATGTGAAAGTGGTTTCTGAGGCAAGTGTCAACAGGTAAAAGTAGTTTGCTTATTCCATGAATCAACTTACCTCACTTCAAATGCAGGATCTTTGCTGACAATTTCAATCGCATTATTTGGTTTCAACTTCCTGTTCACATCTTTCACTTTAATCTCTTTCATTTTGTGTTTCTTTGATTTCTTCTCGATGAGCTTAGGTTTCCGTCCTGGCTTCCCTCGCTTCTTTTTCTTAGCTGAGAAACAAACAACAATCGTTAATTTTAACAACTTGACAATGACAAAACATGCAAATTATCATTTTCAAGCTGTCCAAGTGGCTCAAACTTTTCAATAATAACGTTTTTTTTGGGACAACTCACTAAAATGATACCTACATTTATTCTTACTTCCTGGTGGCCGACCTCTCTTTCCTTTTACCACCAATTTAGCCTTTATAGTTGGTCTAACTTTAGGCGGTCTTCCTCGTCGGCCGGTACTAACGCTCGGTTTAGGACTCTCCTCTATATCCATATCTTCATCATCTTCATCATCATCATCAATTACGTAATCTCTATCCTCCTTCATCTCTTCATCCTCCTCCCCCTCCTCGTCATCAAGGTATCCATCATTGATATCATTCATACCGATAGCAAGAATTCTGGCTGAAGTTCAAACACACAGTGCACATTAAATCAAACAGTTTACTGCATGAATGCTCACACATTATTATTATATATGTCAATCTTTTCACCACCAGTTCCCTGTTTTCATCAAAAAATAGTCCTGTTTATAGTCTGCACTTTCCTTCAAAAGATTGGGACAAAAATAGCCACATTTTTTGAGCAAAAACTGAAAATTGACACAAATTGTGTCTGTTGGCTTTATAATTAGGATTCATTTCCAGAAATATTGAAGAATATAAGAAAAAAGTACAGAAGAATTTGGGCGAGAAAGTCTGCTGGTGAAAAGTTTACGATGAAAAAGAGTTGTCCAATAACCTGCTGTTAGATACATGTATGGGTGTTTTCAATAGACCATTTTCCGTACACTGCGAGAATCACGCGTTATGCGTGAAATCGAACGTAAAAACAGGACAAACAAAGGTCATAGCGTTGTAGTCGCGTCAAACATTGCGTGGGATTCGACAAACGCGAAAGTATTTCGGGGACATTTCCATGCTTAATAATGTGCTGTCCACATTTGATGATAGGCAATTTCGATTAAGTGAGGGTATTCGGAAGCAATATTCCTCTGTCGAAGATCGGCCGGTCAATGTAAGCTGCGAAATAAAGGAATTCGTTCGACGCGCGTCTTTCATGCATCTCGCGAGATCTCGCAATTGTTCAGAAAATCACTTATTCATAAAGCAATAGCATATTTCACAAATGACATAACAATATACAATGTAATTAAATGTTCTATTAATAGTAAGATCTTATAATCGTGATAAAAGCTATAAATATCCAACCTTCCTCTTGTTCGTCTAGTTTCCCTTCTTCCTTCTGCTTTGCTTTATCTAGAATCAAATCGATTCTATCCCTCTCCTTTCTTGGGAGAAAGAATTTATCTCGCTCTCTCCTCTCCATGGCGATGTCAGTTAAAACGCTGTCCATTTCAATGGTGTCATAGTAAGCAACGCCATACACATCTGGTGGGTTCTCCAATTCAAACCATCTCACTTTGAAGATCTTTGTTGATTTGTAAACATTGTGGGCCGTTTGACAGATATAATAGGATCCTACAAAGATAAGTAGCCTGTTATAAGTGTTTATTTCAAGACATTTCTTGGTATGCAAATCAATAAAGAGAAGAGATTTGCTTCATTCAATACATTATTGTAATTGACGTGCAAACACCACACCATCTACTTGATATTAATAGCACAGAGTTGCGATGAGTGTCCCTAATGCCAATGAAATATTTTAAACTGTAACTTGAGTGTTTGTGTCATAAATGTGCCAGAAACACTAAATTAACAGCACTCAGACACATCAATAAATTAAATTTCATCTTGTTTATACAAGATTTCATCTCCTATCTCTTTAACTCTTGGTAACGCCTAGCAACGCATGCTGTATTACCAATCAGATGAAAATAGATGCAATTATAGGCTTCATTTTTTTGTTTTTTTCTTATTGTTACTTAATTTTGTTGTTTATTTAATCATAATGGATTACCTGCTTCATTCCTGACAGCAAGATAGTCTCCTTTATTGTAGTAGACTTCTTTTTTCTCCACTGGTAATGACAGACCACGTGTCTGTTGGGCTGCCGCCACAATGTGTGATTGATATGTATCTGTTGGTGTTCTCTTACGCTTGATTTTTGCCTGAAGTGGTGGCGGCGCAGGCCTCTTCATCCGTGGTTTGGGCTGAAATTATTTGTACATGTACATAGAA